CAGGGTGTAAGTTAATAATAAATTAACATTAATGTAATATTACCTTACTGTAAAGTTATGTAAGTTGTTAAATTACTGTAATATTATTAGTTAATTTATGGTCCATGAACCTTGATGCAATATTATTGTAAAAGTTTTAACTGTAAAATTATGTAAATGATAAATTGCTGTAATGCTACATGTTTAATTTACGGTTTAATAACATTACACAATATTACTGTAAATTTTCAAATGTTAACTTATGGTCCATGAACCTTAACATAAGATTATTGTAATATTTTAACTATAAAGTCATGTAAGTGATAAATTGTTGTAATATTATACATTTAATTTACAGTTCAATGATATTACACAATATTACTGTAAATTTTCAAATGTTAATTTATAGTTCATGAACTCCAACATAATATTATTGTAAATATTTTAATTGTAAAATTATGTAAGCAATAAACTGTTGTAATATTATACATTTGATTTTAAATACATAAGAAAACTTTATATAAATTTATTTACAAAATATTGGTTTTCTTTATCAAATCTAGGAATAATATGCACAACTTCTTTAATTGATTCAATTGGAATAAATAAAAATTCTTGTAAACATTTTAATAACAGACATTCATAGAGATAAGGTTGTTTTAAATTAACAAAGTCATACCATTGAATAAGTGCAAGATTTAATGGCTCCTGACAAATAGGTAAATGCACACACGTCAACAATAATACCTAAATAATATATAAAAAATATTAAATAAAATACAAATTAATTTAATTTATTAACTAATAAATAGTACATTGTACCTTTCCATAACATATACCATTATCAGTAAGATAATCCCCATGTTCAGAAGCATCCATTATAATTGCTATATCTGAAAACCATAATTCATTGTAAAAACTATGTGTAGCTTGAACATATTCACCCGTATTTAATTTTACATAAGAAAAAGTTTCTGCTATAGCTAACGAATCATGTAAATCATCTTCAGTTACATTGCCATCTAATGATTTAATAAACACATTAAGACATGGTCTAAATTTTTCTATTGCAATATAATATTCATCAACTTGATATGTTAATTTTACTTTTTCAAAAAAAAATTCCATTTCATTTAGTTGAAATTGCCATATTTTTTTTGAAAAAATTGAAATCTCATGTAAAGGGTAATCAATATTTGTTTTAATATAGTTGCACATATCCATAATTGATCTTCTTTGTATATTTGCTAGTAATTGAGGACGTATATTTCGTTTGTTACTCTGACGATAAGGATTTTTTACAAAAAACTTATGTGTAGTCTCAAATGTTTCAGTAGTGAATCCATTAATTGATCCATATAATTTAATAGCAGGAATTATATGATAACACCAACTGTGTATTTTTGGTATACATAATTTGGATGGTGAATAATTGATAAATAAATCCACAAATAAAATTGACCATTCCTTGATTGTATTTTCAAATGATTGTAAGTCACTTTCTGAGAATTCTTCAAGCTGAGATATTTGATACATAGTATTAAACTTTAAATAAAGGTTTATTAAGTTTTTGTTTTTTGTTAAATGCAAATTATCAATTGCAAATATAATAATCTTCATCAAATTTCGATAATGATTGGCTGTAAAAAGTTTCAAAGTTCCAAGACCTTGAGGAAATGTAATTAATTGTGAAAAACGTGGTATTAAAGCAATCCTTTTGTCTAAAGTAGTAATCACATCCTTCTTGACTTCTTGAATTAACATCTTGCATGTATATTCTATCATATACTTGAATAATCCAAGATCAATATGATGCATGCGATCTGGTACACATGCAGTATAAATATTAAGATTATTCATTTCCCAAAAAAAATTATTCATTGAGTGTAGTGAATATTCATGTGCCAAACCATCATTAACAAGTCACATCATATTTTGTGGTGTACGTAATACAATAAGATCTGAAGTTAATTGCATATTATTAAAATCTGCTTGTTTTGTTATACATGTATGACATGGATATTTAGTACAATAGCTATTATATGTCATACAATACATACAAGACTCAGGCCAATCAAGTACACAGAATGCTATATATGGAATAAACCAATAAATCTTTTGACCAACTAAAACCTCAATTCCTTTTTTTGACTTTTCGAGAGCGACTATCAGTTCTAAAATCTGATGCAAACATTTATGAAATATTTGTAATTTTTGAAGTTGAAAGGCTGCTGTATTTTGTGAACTTATGATGGCTGTTACTTTAGGAAGATAAGCAATTAATGCCTTTGCGTCACTTTTTTGTCTCCTCCATGCTGGTAAATTACCCAAAGTAATACTAAA